AAATTTCCCCCCCCCCCCCCCGTGAAGGAACAGGCAGGTTAAAGCGAAGGGAAGAGGTGACACCTACCTTCCTCCCATTTCCATTTATTCCTTAAATTATTCCGACACAGCAAGCTGATCTTACTGTAGTTTTGCCACTGCAAAACTGGAGCCCTGTGGCCTGTGCCTGCCCTCCTGTAGCAGACAGTTGGCATGTGGGAGTTGGTGGCCTCCAGGAATTGCTTTTAAATTATTACTATTTTTCACTGGGCTGTGGTCTCCTGCCACAGCAATTCTGGCAGCCAGGAATGTGCCTTTCTTGTTGTTCTGCAGCTCTTATCTATTAGACACTTCGGAAATAATTTGTCACCTCTGGTTTGTGCCTGCAATGAGAAATGACTGTGGGAGCCGAGCCAAGCCCGAGGGAAGCCAGCCTGAGGTGGGTGGTCAGGGAAATCCTCCTTAACAGTTGGCCCTCCGGCTGAAGGGCGGAAAGGCCAGGGCATGCAGGAGCACCTCCGCTTCCAGAAAAGCAGCCTCGCCACAAAGACATCAACCCTGCCACAAAGCTGCTTTGAGAAACTTGCTCAGGAAAGGGGATAGATGGGCTCCTGCTCTTACCAGGCGTCCTGCCAGCCGGCGCACTATACTGCCCGGCCCCCAGACACGATGTTCTGTATGTGTGGATTTTCCAGGAACACAAAGCCATGGACACACCAGCCCCATTACAACCATGGGCTTTAACTCTTTAACAGGAATGAGCGCATCTGGAGCCTTTCCTCGCTGCCCCTGGCTGCTGCATGCTGCGACACCACCACGGGAAAGCTTTGCGGTGGGATCGTGTTTTCAAATCGTCCCTTGATGCACTGTAGCTTTGCCCCTGCTGGAAACCTCCCCTGCATTAACAGCTCCCCCAGCCTCTGACCTGTTTTTAGGGGGGGTCACAAAATGCAGGATTCCCTCTCGCGAAAGCAGAAGGATGCCAACAAGCCACATGCTTCACAAAGCAGGTGTTTGCATGCTCCTGAGGGTACCTCGGCAGTCCTTGGCAGCTCTCTGTCATCTGGCCTGTGCTGAGCTCAGGGAGGGTCTGTGGGACACAGCTCAGGCTTTTCATGTTACATTTATGGAAAAAAAACAGATTTTGGGGCAAGAGGGCACAGACTGGTGCCAACACACTGGCATTCAGTGCGCAAACGCCCTTGTCTCCTTGTCTGCTTCTCCAGGCATATGCCGCTCAGATCTCCTTATAGCTATTTAGGGGGTGGTGTTTGAGACCGCGGCGCGTTTAGCAGCTCTGCCTGGCAAGCAGGGTTTGTCTTCCAGGCCCGTGGATCCCAAGTGAGGCCGAGGGACTCACTTCATGGGGCAGACACGCTCTCCCTGTCCCCACATGTGCCAAACCACAGCAGCCTGCAGCAGAGGCAGTTGGGTGCTGCCGGGCGCAGAGCTGATGCTCTCAGGGAAGGAGGGGGGAACCATAGTGAGCTGGAACATGCTCTGGATACCTGAGAGCACCAAGGAGGCCTTGGCAGCGGGTAGCTGTCCCTCCCCTTGCCGCTGCTGTCTGACAAGTTGCGTGTGTAATTAGACTTGCTTCTG